TCTGTGATATGCTCCAGAGGGAGTAGTCTGGGAGTTTAACAAAAAATCGTGGTTCTCTCGTGATGCTGGGAAGGCCGGCAAGTATGCGTTTTATCTACATACTACTACATGTCACACATACTACACATTATCGTACTGGTCTCTATGTACATGAGATATATATATGTATATCGTCTATATATTTTGTATGTATCATGTATATTATGTATGTGTTAGAATGTGTAATACCTTTATCCTTCCCTCATTCGCCACTAATAGTCATACAATAGCACCATTCATTTCATCCCCAAACATGTAATGTGTGCCCCCTGGGTTCCAGACACCGCAATACAGATAGAGATTAGTTCCTTCCAAGAACATAAGCTCTGTGAAAGTGAGAACTTTATTTCTATCTGGTGCCTAGATCAGTGCTGTATGCCGTACGTGCTCAACACGTGTTTATTAAATGTACCTATGTATGAATGAATAATATATGAATATATAATATACACTAGGATGTATGGATGTTGTGTGTCTCCTACAGTGGGTACACCATTATACTGTAGTTTTAGATTACCCCAGGCTTGTGGTGTATATCTTAGTGGATTTCTACGTATGCATCTAACTATCTAAATCATTTTGTATCCTAATTTCCCCCCACCTCCCAATTTCTCTCCATACTTCAAATCTCTAAAGATAACGGAGAGGACCAAGCTCACATCTGACCTCAAAACACAACCCCACTTCCATGGAGCAGCCTTGAGCCAAGCCGGAGCAAGTGAGCGTGATTGTCAGATGTAGTCACTGCTACCTGCCCACTTCCTGTTTCATGAGAGGGGCACCCGCCCATTTCCCCTTCTGCTTGTGCACCCCTTCCACGTCTCCGGAGGGGTCTCTGGCTGGGACCTTGTTTTATCTGCCCCACAGAGACTGCTTGGGGCACTGCATTTGTTTAGCCTAATGAAATGGTCTTTGCAATCAGCAGACTCCATTTGGTTTTGGAGTTGAAGCAGGGAAGATTTGCTGATTGCTGATTACACCAACACTAAATTTCTCCGCGCTTTCTCCTTGGGGTGCACCCACTGAGACTGACGCTTCCCCAGCAGATGGAGAATTGGATGCAGAGGGTGGCAAGGGGACAATGACGGAGGGTGGGAGATACTGACAGGTTCCCCGAACGCTGTCGTTGGTCCACATACCCTAGCCTGGCGATGGCTTTCTGGTTCTCACCTCTTCTCCCCATGTCTAAGCCAACTCACCTCCTATGTAGCCCTTGATTTTTTTCATGTCTTTTCTCCTCGGGATAGTGAAAAATCTTCAGAGCCAGAGTCCTCCATTCCAGTGTTTTTTATTTGCTTTGTGACCTTGACAAATCTCCTCAGTGACCTGGGGATGACACTGTCCTTTCTGGGGCTCCTCCTCCTTGTATGAGGATTGAAGGATAGCTATGCCACTGCGGGTCAAGTTTCCACTCGGCCAAGCTCATGTCCTCCTTGAAAGAGTCCTGTGAGGGATGGTCTGCTACTGACACCGTTTCACCAATGAGACAACTTAGGTTCAGAGATGTTAATTGAGTACCTTGCTGGAGGTCACACAGCCAGTGAGCAGCAGAGCTGGGATTCGAACCCCGGCAGCCCGGCTCCAGAGCCTACTTTCACTTTTATGATATTGTAGATTTGGCCTGTTTTAGACTCTTATTTCTTCTGTCCACTTGCTTAGTCCCAGGCCAGGCCCACCCAACCCTGAGACACAGTGCCTCCTTCTCTCTCCTCTACACTCCAAGAAGCTCCCTGAGGGTGTAGACTGTACCCTTTGCAGCTCCTGCATGACACAGACAAGGGCAATTTTCACCCAAGCAAAACAAGGAGGGGACATCTCTACCCTTTTCTCATATCTTAGCACATGTGACTTAAAGAGTTCTCCCACCTAAGAACCCAAGACCTGGATGCTCATCTCAGCTTTGTGGCCTCCCAGCAGCATGGCCTCAGACAGGTCATTTGGTTAGACATTCATTGAACCAATGTTTATAGGATCCAGTGCATTTAACACATAACCCACAATGGCCCAGACTTGCAGACTTGGGATAGAATCTAAGGCAGAAATACAGATTTTTCTGCCTCTGTGTCTTACAAAGACACAGGTGCCACATCTGGGAGAAAGTGGCTAATGCCCAGTGGCACCATCGTCCTGGCCCATTAGAAAAGAGTGGAGCTTGGGCACGCGCTCCCGGAAGCTGCTGGGAGTTTGCACCCAGCCGTTTTCTAGCTGTGTTTATGAGCTGACATGCTGATGTCCTGGGAGGAGCACCCCCTCCTTCACAGTCCCTCGATGTCCTTTATTTCCTCTGACAGCCTGGCGGCCCCAGTCTCGGGTCGTCTCTCACCTTGTCAAGGCTAAGATGGGGATTTCACAGTTGGTGGCTTCAGTCAACCGGATGGACTGCCAGCCCCTTCTCATGCCGCCTCAGTGGCTCCCTTCCCACCACCCCTTCTCCCTCTCATCAGCTCAGCCTGGCCTTTAGCCTTAGTGTTTGCCTGCTGCTTCTCTCTCTCTAAAATCAGAAAACATTTGAAAGGCACAGACTTATAATAACGTGAATGGACAAGCTGATATGCAGAGAGCTGAGTGTGTGTCTGTCATGGTCCTTGCTGACTTCCTTTGAGGAATGCAATCATAGCCCCAGAAAGATCACTGTACTGGGAGCCGCCAAGCCCAGGGTTCAAATCCCAGCTCTGAACCTTTCCCGAGTGACCTTGCTGGCTTTACTTTCCTCATCTGCAAAATAAAGAAAAATGATGTCAGTTGTGGTGGCTCATGCCTGTATTCCCAGCACTTTGGGAAGCTGAGGTGGGCAGATCACTTGAGGTCAGGAGTTGCCTGGCCAACATGCCAAAACCCTGTCTCTACTAAATAATATATAAATTGGCCAGGCATGGGAATGGGTGCCTGTAATCCCAGCTACTTGGGAGGCTGAGGCAGGAGAATTGCTTGGACCTGGGAGGTGGAGATTGTAGTGACTGAGATCGGGGCACTGCACTCCAGCCTGGACAACAGATCCAGGCTCTGTCTTTAAAAAAGAGAAAAAGAAAAATAGAAAAATGACTCTGGGCTAAGAGAGGGGCTGTGAGCCATTCATTTTCACTCAGTCCCATGGGGAGCTGGGAATTGCACTTTGACTCCACATCTTCAAATTTCTCCCGTCCTCACTGTCCTCATTTGGTATGTGTGCTCCTTTACACAACAGCCCAAAAATAAACTTTACGTAATTAGAGCCGCTTACAAGAAAAATCCCATCTCTAACCGCACTTCACCCCGTCCATAAATATTCTCAGTTCCCCGTGTTATTTGCATAGATCTGGGCGTGATCCTGCTCGGCTCTATTCAGTTTGCTTCATGTTGTTTCACAGCAGCACTCCACGCCGCCACAATTCTTATTTCTAATGTTAATGTCTGCCTAAGAGCATCAAAGTGACACACTGTGATTTCCCTAACCATTCCCAATTGCTGGGTGATGAGGCAGATCTCAGCCTCTCCTTGTCGTCAGTGGCACCACGGCAAGCATCCCGGGGCATAGAGCTGTGTTCTGCCTCTTGATTTATCCCCCGAAAGATGAATTCCCAGGAGGTTAGATTCTGGATCTCACCTAGGTTTCAGACTCAGCACCGTGGACATGCAGGCCAGACAATTCCTTGTGGGACAGTCCTGTGCGTCGTTGAACAGCATCCCTGGCCTCTACCCACCAGATGCCAGCAGCATTCCCCCAAGTTGTGACTGCCAAAAATGTCTTAGACATGACCAACTGTTCTCTGGGGGGGACAGAATCACCCTCAGGTGGCAATCACTGTATGTTAAAGGGTAGCAGTGTGTAGATTGCAAATTAAAGTCACATATTTTCCCCAGAGTCCAGATAAAATCCAATTAGAAAAGTACAAGAAAGTATCAATCACTAAGGTGAGCACTGAGAGGGGAGTCAGAGGCACTGGGCTTGAGTTCCCGCTCTGAGGGGAGTCAGAGGCACTGGGCTTGAGTTCCCACTCTGCCATGAAGTTTTTGCTTCTTAAGGCCTCAGTTTGTCATCTGTGAAATGGGAGCAAGAACAGAGACTCACCTGCTGGGCCTGGGAGGCATGACTGAGATCCTGGCTGCAAAACACGCAACACAGCTCTGGCCACAGACGGAGCTCCATAAATGCCCATTGTGTTTGCCTGTTCTAGAGGGAGCCCAGTAGGGTTTTTCACCTTGGCTTTTTTTTTCTTCTTCTTTTTCTTTTTGAGATGGAGTCTCACTCTCTTATCCAGGCTGGAGTGCAGAGGCGGGATCCATTAGGATGACTCCTGAGTAGCTGGGATTACAGGTGCCCATCACCACGCCCAGCTAATTTTTGTATTTTTAGTAGAGATGGGGTTTCTCCATCTTGGTCAGGCTGGTCTTGAACTCCTGACCTCGTGATCCACCTGCCTCGGCCTCCCCAAGTGTTGAGTTTACAGGCATGAGCCACCACGCCCGGTTCATCTTTGCTTTTGCTGCTGTTGGGGACAGCAAGGTGGGGGCACCTGGAAGACAGACTTGAAAGGAAACCACCTTTGTTATGATCTCCTCATGACCTCCTGCACCAGATTTATCCCTGGGGCTCAGCTTCTTAAACCAGACTCAATGACCCTGCTTGGTTTGCACATTTACTCCTCCATCCAAGATAGGCTGAGTAGCCACTGTACGTGGTGGTGCAGATTCAGAGCATGGCCCTGGGCTCCGATGCACTGGAAGCAGCACCGCCTGCACAGGTGAGCAAGCTCTCTGTGCCACGCCCAGGAGCATCTATTTCCTCCTCTGTGAAACATGGAATACCTGGCCGAGGATCCCATAAACCTGTCCGCAGAGGGAGCCTCTCATGGAGAACCAGCCACTTAATAGGTGCTCAGTGAACACTAGGCTCAGCCGGGGGCATGTCTCTTCCCCAGTGCATGCATGGGTGGTGCATTTCCTGTCCAAGGCCAACGTGTGCATGCATCCTCTGTCCCCAGGAGAAGTATGTGGAGGAGCTTGCTGCAGTGAGGCAGACCCTCCAGACAGACCTGGAGACATCCATTCGGCGGATTGCTGACCTGCAGGCAGCCTTGGAAGAAGTGGCATCCAGTGACAGTGATACTGAGAGGTAACTTACTAGGGGCTGGATGGGGCTGGGCACAGCAGGGTGGACAGCATTCTGGGGAGCTCTTTTAGCCGGGCTGGGGCCACATTCACTGGGAAACCCAAAGATGTTCTGGGGCTGGAGGCGTCACTGGCTTACTTGGGTGAGGAGAGACTGGATGGTGTTAACCTCTCCTTGCCGTTGTGAAAACCTCTCACTCGAGCTCACCAAGCCTTTGGTGAAGCAATGTGGCCGAAACGAGGACTTCAGTGTATGGTCTTCGTCAAGTTCTACGTCCAATCTTGGCCTAATCTGTAAAATGTGCATAACAATATTAGGATGACCCGCATGCCGTTGCCAAGATTGGACTATTTTTGGCCAATAGACTGGAAGTTTCGTATATTCGATCTACCGCCTATTTCATAGGGCGATTAGCAAGAGTTAATTGAGTTCACGGATGAACATGACAGGTATGTAAGTGCTATATAAGGAGAAGCTATGTTTGTGCAGAGTAATGGACATAATTTTACAAGGGCTATGGCTGATTCAAGGATGCAAGTTTGGGCTGGTGATCAGCGAGACCACCCAAGTTCAATGGTAGGGTTTTTCCCCTTCTCACCTTTCACCATCTCTGCTGTGATGTCCCAAGCTACTGCATGCCACAGGTGGACCACTCAATTGGGAAGAGTTCAAGGTATCCCAGCTGAGCACATGGGTCCGGGCTGTCTAGCTCCTACAGCATTCTGTTCCCAGAAGCTGCCTTTCTACCCTTGGCTTATTGCTTCCCTAGGAACCACAGCTGCCTGTCTTGCCACACATCCCCGCCCCCATTCTAGCCTCTGTGGCAAAGCCTGGGTAGCAGAGAAGGCACTTTCTTCACATAGCTTTGCAATAAGAACCTGCAGATGTGGCTCCCTCCTGCTGCCTGCAAGCTCCCCCTGTCCGCCCCTGAGCAGGCCACATTAAAAGCCAGTTTTTCTTGGTCTTCCTCTCTGAAGGCTTTTATTTTTCTGCAGCCAGAACAGTCAAGCATCAGTCCTTGGGATGCATCCCTCTCTGTTTGACTGCAAAGAAGTTCAAGGTCATGCAGCAAATTAGCCTCATACGCTGAGCTAGAACGCAGGTCTGCTGAGTTTCCTACCCAGACCTTTGCCATTCACACCTCTCTTCGGGGTGGAGGCAGGGGCAGCTGCTGACCTTTGGGACATATGGGTGTGAGACAGGCAAGAGAAGCTGAGAGGGTTGCGAATCAGCTCTTGTTGAGCCAGCAGGAAGAACCAGACATCTATATTGTCTATATTAGAGCTCACTATGAATAGTCAAAGAAAAAAACTGGGAGAAATACACCAGCATTCTAACACTGAGGAAAGGCGTTACGGGTGACAATTTTTTTTCTTCAAGTTTATTTATATTTTCTGAAATCTGTGCAATGAACATGAACACACATCTCCAGCTCCACTAGTACTCTCTGTAGGAGATTTTGCTCATAGAAGTTATGTACTCTATATACCGAATTTTAGAATGCGCATAACCTCCTCCCTTGATACAGTCCTGAATTGGTCATAGCTGCTGAGGGATTTGTGATCTCAGGCTCTCCAGTGAAGATATCTGAGCGCAGCGGAGCAAGACGGAGAGCCACTGGGCTCTAAAATGTTCTTGGCCAGGCACGGTGGCTCACACCTGTAATCCCAGCACTTTGGGAGGCTGAGGCAGGAGGATCACTTGAGACCAGGAATTCAGGAACATCCTGGGAAACATAAGGAGTCCCCGTCCCTACAAAAACTCCTTTTAAAAAAAATCAGGCAGGCGTGGTGGCACCTGGAGTCCCAGCTACTCAGGAGGCTGAGGCAGGAGAATTACTTCAACCAAGGAGTTTGAGACTACAGGAAGCTGTGATTTGTGATTGTGCCACTGCACTCCAGCCTGGGCGACAGAGCGAGACCCTGTCTCAAAAAATAAGCAAATAAATAAAACTTCATGTTTTTGCCTCTAAATAAAAGACTTCATCTTAAAAAAAAAAATTCTTCAATTTGTGCAAAAGTGGCTTCCGTGCACAACCCAAGTATTCCCGCCATTCCCTGCGAATTTGCACAACTGTCAAATGGCTGGTGAAAGGGCAAATTCTGATGTTGCAGCTGCCTTCCAGCTCATGATCACGTTCAGGATCCCACCTCCAGGGGCCCCTCCTCCTGTTTTATTAGCGTTGGGGCAGAACTTGCTATAATTACAAAAATGCCTTTTGTCGTTATTACCTGTTTGATGCTTGGGCTGGCTTCTCCATTCATAGAAACAACAGAGGTTTTGCATGAATTACAACAGGAATGAATAGCTATGGTTACTACCATCTTCGGCCAAAGAGCAAAATGTTTAAATTATTTTCACTTGTGTAGCAAGAGATTGCTTTTCTAGTAAACAATCAAAGTTAAGTAAACATAACAAAATTGGAGGGAGGCAGAGGGTCCATGCTTGAAGGGTGGGTGACAGGCTGGAAGAAGGTACAACACGAAGCAAGGGACAGTGTCCATCAACAGATGCATGAATAAAGAAAATGTGATACGGATACACAATGGAGTACTATTCAGCCATGTAAAAGAATGGGATGCAGTCATTGGCAGTGATGTGAATGGAACTGGAAGTCATGTTAAGTGAAATAAGCCAGACACAGAAAGAGAAACATTGCCTGTTCTCACTTAATTGTGGGATACAAAAATCAAAACAATTGAACCCATGGGAATAGACAGTAGGAGGTGGGCTGGCGAATGGGTATAAAGATATATTTAGAGTGAGTGAATAGGGCCTGGTATTTAATAGCATAACAGGATGACTAGTCAATAATAATTTAATTGTCCATTAAAAAAATAAATAATTGGAGTATAATTGAATTGTTTGTAACACAAAGGGTAAGTGCTTGAGGGGATGGAGTCCCCATTTTCCATGATGTGGTTATTATGTATTGCATGCCTATATCAAAACACCTCATTACCCCCTAAATATGCATACCTACTATGTACCCACAAAAATTAAAAAATGAAAACATTATAAAATGAAAACATTATAAAATGAAAAGGGAAATAAGAAGCAAAGGACAGACATCTCACTGGGGGAATAAGATCCTGGTGGTGAGATCACAGAAGGTTGTAGGCATCACTGCAGTCTTGGCAAAGGGGCGAATCCCCTCTGGCCTTAAAGGGACCCTGCTGCCACCCTCGTCCTAACAAGAGACACCTTTATCTCTGTTCTGATCTACCCTTTCTGAGCTCCATGCCCTGGGAACCCAGGAATCCAATCTGAATTCTTTCTGTCTCACTTTTCATGATCTTCTGTCTCTAGGGCCTTAAATCTTCCTCCCTGCTGGCTTCTGATGTTTTTTCTCCTTGACTGGATCTCTAGTTTCCACATAGCACCTGCCTCATAGCTGGAAGGGACATCACCTGCATTTCAGAGTTGCTGTGAAGTGTGAAATGGCTATAGAACGCCAGGTGTAAAGAAATGCATCTTGTGCCTGTACCTGGAAAAACCCCGTGCAATGTGTAGGATTATTACAATTGGAAGTCAAGGAAGAATTTGAGAAGGAATAGGCTCTGCACGTCAACAGGTCTGATTGCCAGTTAGAGATCTAATGGTCAATTTCTGCATGACCTAGGGCAAGTTATTCAGCCTCTCTGAACCTCAGTCTCTTCGAATTTAAAATGGGTTAATAATAAGAAGCAAATGAAAAAATACCACTTCCTAGCGCAGTACCTTGCGCATAGCAGCGGCTCATGCAAATGATGAGAATCATCAATTGCATTCATTCATTCATTGGATAAATTCTTACTGAGCATGTATTGCCTGCGAGATGCTGTGTTAAGTGCTTGTTTTATTCCGCTTGCTTCTTGTTATCATTATTCTCCCTCTTACATGAAGAGAGGTTAAATAACTTGCCAGAAGTCAGGCAGAGATGAACGTTTGGAAATATGTCTAAAGCCCAGGTTGGTTGAATTGCCGAGGAATAGAGAGAAGAGCCTAGGGGTGGTTCTGCTTTTATCAAACCTGCATTCTGCTGGGTGCGTTTGTGTGTTTGTGTGTCCAAAAATAAAGTGCACAGACTGATAAATAAAACAGGAGAATACAATTGTAGTTATGAGGGCAGAGAACGTGGTGCTATGATGGAGAGCAGGATGGGCAGATATAGCCTCCCAGAGAGGAAGGTGTTGGCATTAAGACCTGAATGGGAAAAGGGGCCAGCCATGGGAAGGCTTGGAGAAAATGAGTGAGGGCAGTTCAAGGCACGTTTTAAGAAGCGAAAGGAGATCCATGTCCCCTGGGAAGGTAAATGAGGGAGCAGCAGACCTCTCGCTCCCTTTTCTCTTTCTCCATCCTGCCTTCCTCTTTCCCTTTCTCCTGCCTCTTTTCTCCTCTGAACACGTCCCATAGAAACCCACTGACACCTTCAGTTTCTTCAAGTGCCCCAGTGCCCCAGGCGGGACTGGCCACGTCATTTGTAGGGTCCAGTGTGAAGTGAAAGTGTGAGGCTTGGCAGACATGGTGGCTCACACCTGTAATCCCAGCACTTTGGGAGGCCAAGGTGGGTGGATCACTTGAGGCCAGGAGTTCAAGACCAGCCAGGCCAACATGACAAATCCCTGTCTCTACCAAAAATACAAAAAGCTGGATGTGGCTGTGGTCACCTGTAGTTCCAGGTGCTCGGGAGGCTGAGACAGGGTGATGGCTTGAATGAGTGAGGCAGAGATTGCAGTTAGCCAAGGTGGTGCCACTGCACTCCAGCCTGGGCGACAGAGTGAGGCTTCATCTCAAAAAAAAAAAAAAAAAAAAAAAAGAAAAAAGAAAGTGTGGGGCTCCTGGTTCAAAATTATTAAAAATTTCAGGCTGAGTGCTGTGATTCACACCTGTAATCCCAGCACTTTGGGAGGCCAAGGTGGGCAGGTCATGAGGTCAGGAGATTGAGACCATCCTGGCCAACATGGTGAAACCCCATCTCTACTAAAAATACAAAAAATGAGCTGGGCCTGGTGGCGCATGCC